TTATATATAGACATGCAATGTTTTGCAAGGAAATATAACAGTTTATTTGTTATACTCCATAAGTGAACACATCCTATATTAAAACTTAAATCCAACTTGTTGCCATGTAAAGGTAAAAAATAAAAATTTCTAAAATTCCTAAATAGCAAAAGGCACCAGTTCAGCATGAGTCTGATAGACATTCAAAGTTTTGTTAGAAAGATTTGAATCGGGTTTGAGTTATGTTCCGGAAACGAACACCACCCTTATAGAACCTAAGTCCAAATTGTTACCATGGAAACGTAAAAAATAATAATTTATAAAATTCCTAAACAGCAAAAGGCACCAGTTCAGTTTGTGCCTGGTAGACATGCAAAGTTTTGTAAGAAAGTATTTAACAGTTTTTTAGTTATGCTCTGGAAATGAACACCACCCTTATAGAACCTAATTCCAACTTATTGCCATGGAAACGTAAAAAATAAAAATTTATAAAATTCCTCAATAGCAAAAGGCACAACTTCAGTATGTGACTGATAGATTTGCCAAGTTTGGATCAAATACACTGAATTGTTTTCGAGTTCTGCCCCGGAAAAGGTAATAATTACGGATGGGCGGACAGACGAACGGACGGATGCAGACGGACGGACAGACTGGCTGATTGCTGTATCCCCCCGCATGTCAAAAACTGTGCAGTTGGGAAAAGTAAATCTTTCTGACCAATCTGATAAATTTCTTTTTCAAATTGTCTGTCTGATATTATAATATACTCACACGCAAAAGAAACACAAGTGGTTTTAAGCAAATAGGTAACAAACACGAAACCATAAATTGATACAAGTTTTAGCATGTAGTGAAGCCTGATGGTGTTATCAATATTTTTGGTTGTATTTTGGAAGCCCCATAAAAAACGAATCGCCAAAACGCACCATTTCAATGAATATGTGGGTATCATGCACCCATTTCACGCGAAATTAAATGCACGAACTGTCACAAACTGTAGTGGGTATAAAACTGTGGCTGATTCTTGGACCTACCACTCCTTGGTCAACAATGCCACGCATTACTCAAATTCAGAGAAACCAGGCTATCGGACGTTTGGAAGCTGGAGAGTTGTTGCCCGTCATTTCAACGTTAACATAACCACAATTTACCATCTCCTGCATCGATACAATGCTACACAGACAACATATGACCTTCCTCGGAGCAGTCGTCCTAGGGTCACCACACCTCAACAAGATTGGCAGATTACCCGTCAACACCAGCGACAACCTTTCCTAACTGCATGTGAAAGTGCTCGACAGACCATAGGAACACATAATCGACACATTAGCCGGGACACTGTGATCCAGCGTCTCTGTTCCAACAACCTCAGATGTCGCCGACCAGCACGTCATCCTGTTCTCCAACCACGGCATTGACAAGCACGACTTCAGTGGGCACAGGGTCATCGCAATTGGCATCATCGTGAGTGGAGCCGTGTCATTTTCTCAGATGAAGTCGCTTTTGTGTCTCCCATGCAGACGGAAGAGTCAGAATTTGGCGGCGTTGAGGTGATCGTTTCGCTGACAGAAACGTTGTGGAAAGGGATCCATGGGGTGGACCTAGCGTCATTATAATGTTTTCGAAAACCCTGAACGGAGAAACTGAGTATTCATGATGTTTATTTTACAGAATTTCTAATATAGAGAACTCACAGTTGTCCAATTCCCTGAAATCCGTAAAACATCTTGACGGAATGCGGATAAACATAGGCCTTTCTCACCAGAAAGCATGGTACTCGCTCCATACCCCAAGGGAGTTAAAAACAATACTCACCACTAATGAGAAGAAACAATAAAGCGCTATTAAAATATCTTATTACCATATCTGACTGACTACCGTTACACTCCCCTTGAAATTAGAATTAACCTAATTTACATTAAACAATGAGAAATGCTGATGTGGTATACATATAAACACAATGGTTTGGCAAACAATACAGTATTGCAAGTGCAGATAGGCAAGTGTCATACCCTGACAATGAACAAAGGTTAATGCTTTTTGGCAAAACACATAATCAAACAAAATAATAAACATGAAATTACACATCAATGTGACAAAGTTTATAGTTCGGATCGGATTCGGAATCATCACTCACAAAGTTTATAGTTCGGATCGGATTCGGAATCATCACTCACAAAGTTCAATGAACCCGAAAATGAATTTAGCACAGTTCGGAACACCATACTGCAAATGAATTTACACACATTTGAACACAGTTAGTTCTCTTTTTCTAAGAGAAGCACAAGTTTGTGAACTGGTCTCACAAAGTTTGATTCACCACAGTCTACTTTCACAGTTCTGACTAGACCATCTTCACTAAGGTACACTTCTGAGATGCGTCCAAGTTCCCATGTTCACTACACACAATTGCCATACAGTCTTCTAAACAATCACAAATTGAACGCAGTTCAGATATGTCCACACTGTCAGATACTTCATGACACTACTCGCCTGCCGACGCCATGCAGATAGTGCAGATTTGAAACGTTTCACACATAGTTCAATCTTATAATCAGTGTATTCTTGTGTAGGTTTAGCCGCACGGCTACTTAAATCATCATCACAATTGTTCATATTGTCAATATTCAAATCCATGCTGACACTATTGAAATTCAACTTACTCCCGGTACACGTTCTTTCCACTCAATCGATGTTTTACTATAATGTTTTCGAAAACCCTGAACGGAGAAACTGAGTATTCATGATGTTTATTTTACAGGGTTTTCTAAAACATAGTAAAACATCGATTGAGTGGAAAGAACATGTACCGGGAGTAAGTTGAATTTCAATAGTGTCAGCATGGATTTGAATATTGACAATATGAACTTACTCCCGGTACACGTTCTTTCCACTCAATCGATGTTTTACTATAATGTTTTCGAAAACCCTGTAAAATAAACATCATGAATACTCAGTTTCTCCGTTCAGGGTTTTCGGAAACATTATCGTAAAACATCGATTGAATGGAAAGAACGTGTACCGTGCTTCTCTGGATGTGTGCAGGAGGATCCCTAGGGCCTTCACAAATCGTCTGATCCACTCAATGTACAGGAGATGTGTGGCAGTGATCAATGCTATTGGTGGTCACACCAGGTATTGACTGACATTTGGGGTATTGACCCGAAACTGTGCAAGCCCTTAACATTGAAAAAAAACAATTATGTCATCTTTAATCCATTAAACTGTCTTCAGTCAAGTTTTTGTCAATCTTGCCCTATTAGTATTTCTTGTCTTTACTGTTATAAATAACATGTATACTGCATACTCGACTTTCTTTTGCGTGTGAGTATAGTTACTTGAATGTGACAAGGGTGCATGATATAAAATTTGCCATCATTCGCATGAAGTTCAACATGGCAGAAAAAGGTCTAGAAGCGTGGTAACCACTTAACTAATCTCACCATATTTCACCATCTGTAGCACTCTATAAAATATGAGTTACATGATGTTAATGCTGAGATGATTAGGGTGATGATGGTTATAATTTTGAGCACTCATTATTTGACATCTTAATTCCCAGTTGAAAAGGGCAGTAAGAGGGTTTGAAAAGTGAGGGACCATATATGGTCCTGTGGCACCAAGAGGGTTAAAGAGATATGTGAACAGCTTGTCAAACTGTGACGTCAATAACCAGTATGGTCAACACCACACACACAGGATCATGAGGCAGGCCATGCAGCTGTCACAACATATACACATGGATAGGTATACTGTTTATCAAACCCCACACACATTAACTTGTGTACAGACATGTCCCACCCCTAGCATGGCATCTGCTCATGGTTAAACGGCAGAATAAAGAGAGGGACTGTTATAAATGGGAATTTTGTTCCAAATGTTCCTGAAGAACTAGAAAGGTGTTTGCTGCATTTCAGGAAGCAGAAAGAGTCCTATCCTCTAATTGCATCAAAACTGACAATTGATCTGTCGTTGGCTTGGACATGTTAATCCTTCTAAATCTCCTATCTCTCCATCAACATGTGTTTGTACCAAGTCGACTGAGGGAATGACATAGAGAATGGTCCGGGACATTTGATCAAGCGGGACATATGAAAATAGCAGTTTAAACAAACCATCAATGATGATTGTAAAGTTGTCTGGGAACTAAAATACTGCAAACCATGCACATTTAATTATCTCACATTTGAACAGGACAACTCACCTGGATATGTACAGTTTGTTTACAATGTCAACAAAGACAGCCCACTTAACAAAAGTTGTTGTCAGCACCGATATTCAAATATGTTTTGAGTAGGTACAGAGGACTTAAAAATACCACACACACTGAGATCACAATTTGAACAAAATATGATGTTACTTTAAAGATAAACACATGCCATAGTTCTGCTTCATCAGTCTGGCACTGTCCTAGAAAATGTTTACAGAGCCAAATATGCTATTTGATAGTATTTAAGAATTTGACAGAAATAAATAAATTGTAGCTGAGTAATGGCCACACATATCAACATGGCTTTTGATTTCAGATGAAGAAAAACTTGGAACTAGAGTAAACTACGGTAATAATGAATTCAAAGGCACCACTAATTTTGATTCGTCATAATCGTAGTTCGTTATAAGCATATGTGCAACATATACACAGCAAATAGATGGACAAAGAAATAGCTGGTTATATCAGTCAGATTGTTATAAGCATGTTCGCTATAAACATAGTTTACTGTACATTTGGTGATTATCTTATCAACCAAGTAACAGACTTCTCCACTTTTCAGACTGAAGGAAGGAGATATTGGAAGTTGTAAAAAATGTCAAACATTACATAAACCGATTGTGCATGAAAAACCTGAGAAACAGAGCCTATATTTACTCATAATCAAAGACAGAAAATAGAGAGAAGAAAACTAATGTAGAACAGTGTTTTTGAGATCATATAATTGACTTATAAACATCATACCATGAACCACACTGTCCTAGTGACATCTTTAACCATTGAATCATGCTGCAGGAGTTGGACTTCCTACCTTAAATGTGAAGGTTTCATTGAACACTGGGTTCAATGTTTTTCGATGGACTTTAGTTTCATATTTCTTCTTCTTGTCTGGGAGGAGGTAAACCTTGACGTAAGGGTCAGATGTACCACTCATATCCATCCCGGGGAGGTCAGCAGCCTGGATGACACCTACAGACAGCTGCAGGACACACACAAGGCAAAGTTAGACTGGTAAAACTGTGCAACTTAATACCCCTAGACCAGTAGAAGATCAGAAATCTCATACTGCCTGAGTTATAAACAAAACTACCAGTACAATTTATTACTCTATGTTGAGACTCCCTGACTATGTTACTACCAATGTAAACTGCCCTAGCTAACAGAGTCATCAGTACCAGTGAAGGAAGGCTGCAGTTTGAGTAATGTAGCCATCTTGCCAGACTTACCTCTCCCTTCTGGAAGTCGTAGTCCAGAGAGAACTGTAGTTTGCCCAGCTTGACCTCCGACTTTGTGCTCTCATTGTCCTCATTGTCCTCCATGTTTACATTCAACTCATCCAAGTCTGGCTGCACCTACAACCACAACCACACTAAAAGTGCCAATATTAACTCCAAATAGCCCTTCATTAATGAATTTCTTATGATTCATTTAATGAACTAACATAATGTATATATCCAACATAAATATCTAAAAATAGTTATCATTGTGCATAATTCTAAGAATAGTATCTCTATTACATGATAGCCATAAATTCCTGTTTAAGCTGAGAACCACACTCCAAAATTTAAACAAATTTTCAACAGACGTCCTCTTCACTGAGACGCCTAAGCACATGTGAAGGTGGGAATCACCTCACTTCTTTCAACCAATAACTCTCATCAACTTGATGCAGATATATGGGGAAGCGGGAGGGATAAATTCCTGACGTAATAGAGGTAGTATTCTTAGAATTAAACACAATGATAAGCACCCTTATTGATGGCGGGCATAATACCAAGTCTGATATGGTGTATGGGATTTCTGCCAGTGGCAGGGTGTATGGGATTTCTGCCAGTGGCAGGGTGTATGGGATTTCTGTCAGTGGTAGAGTGTTTGGGATTTCTGTCAGTGGCAGGGTGTATGGGATTTCAGCCAGTGGCAGGATGTATGGGATTTCTGTCTGTGGCAGGACGTATGGGATTTCTGTCTGTGGTAGGGTGTATGTGATTTCTGTCAGTGGCAGGGTGTGTGGGATTTGTGTCTGTGGTAGGGCGTTTGGGATTTCTGCCAGTAGCAGGGTGTATGGGATTTCTGTCAGTGGTAGGGTGTTTGGGATTTCTGCCAGTGGCAGGGTGTATGGGATTTCTGTCTGTGGTAGGGTGTTTGGGATTTCTGCCAGAGGCAGGGTGTATGGGATTTCTGTCAGTGGTAGGGTGTTTGGGATTTTTGCCAGTGGCAGGGTGTATGGGATTTCTGCCAGTGGTAGGGTGTATGGGATTTCTGTCTGTGGCAGGGTGTATGGGATTTCAGCCAGTGGTAGGGTGTATGGGATTTCAGCCAGTGGCAGAGTGTATGGGATTTCAGCCAGAGGCAGGGTGTATGGGATTTCTGTCAGTGGTAGGGTGTTTGGGATTTTTGCCAGTGGCAGGGTGTATGGGATTTCAGCCAGTGGCAGGGTGTATGGGATTTCAGCCAGTGGTAGGGTGTATGGGATTTCAGCCAGTGGCAGAGTGTATGGGATTTCAGCCAGTGGCAGGATGTATGGGATTTTAGCCAGTGGCAGGATGTATGGGATTTCTGTCTGTGGTAGGGTGTACGGGATTTCTGTCTCTGGCAGGGTGTATGGGATTTCAGTCAGTGGCAGGGTGTATGGGATTTCAGCCAGTGGCAGGGTGTATGGGATTTCAGCCAGTGGTAGGGTGTGTGGGATTTCAGCCCGTGGCAGGATGTATGGGATTTCCGCCCGTGGCAGGATGTATGGGATTTCCGCCAGTGGCAGGATGTATGGGATTTCAGTCAGTGGTAGGGTGTATGGGATTTCAGCCAGTGGCAGGATGTAGGGGATTTCAGCCAGTGGCAGGATATATGGGATTTCTGTCTGTGTTAGGGTGTATGGGATTTCAGCCAGTGGTAGGGTGTGTGGGATTTACGCCAGTGGCAGGGTGTATGGGGTTTCTGCCAGTGAAAACATGTATGGGATTTCAGCCAGTGGCAGAATGTATGGGATTTCAGCCAGTGGCAGGATGTATGGGATTTCAGCCAGTGGCAGGGTGTATGGGATTTCAGCCAGTGGTAGGGTGTATGGGATTTCCGCCCGTGGCAGGGTTTATGGGATTTCAGCCAGTGGCAGGATGTATGGGATTTCAGTCAGTGGTAGGATGTATGGGATTTCAGCCCGTGGCAGGATGTATGGGATTTCAGCCAGTGGCAGGATGTATTGGATTTCTGTCAGTGGTAGGATGTATGGGATTTCAGCCAGTGGCAGGATGTATGGGATTTCAGCCGGTGGCAGGATGTATGGGATTTCAGCCAGTGGTAGGGTGTATGGGATTTCAGCCAGTGGCAGGATGTATGGGATTTCAGCCAGTGGCAGGATGTATTGGATTTCTGTCAGTGGTAGGATGTATGGGATTTCAGCCAGTGGCAGGATGTATGGGATTTCTGTCAGTGGTAGGGTGTATGGGATTTCTGTCTGTGTTAGGGTGTATGGGATTTCTGTCAGTGGTAGGGTGTATGGGATTTCAGCCAGTGGCAGGATGTATGGGATTTCTGTCAGTGGCAGGGTGTATTGGATGTTTGTCAGTGGTAGGGTGTATGGGATTTCTGTCTGTGGCAGGGTGTATTGGATGTTTGTCAGTGGTAGGGTGTATGGGATTTCAGCCAGTGGCAGGATGTATGGGATTTCAGCCAGTGGCAGGATGTATTGGATTTCTGTCAGTGGTAGGATGTATGGGATTTCAGCCAGTGGCAGGATGTATGGGATTTCTGTCAGTGGTAGGGTGTATGGGATTTCTGTCTGTGTTAGGGTGTATGGGATTTCTGTCAGTGGTAGGGTGTATGGGATTTCAGCCAGTGGCAGGATGTATTGGATTTCTGTCAGTGGTAGGATGTATGGGATTTCAGCCAGTGGCAGGATGTATGGGATTTCTGTCAGTGGTAGGGTGTATGGGATTTCTGTCTGTGTTAGGGTGTATGGGATTTCTGTCAGTGGTAGGGTGTATGGGATTTCAGCCAGTGGCAGGATGTATGGGATTTCTGTCAGTGGCAGGGTGTATTGGATTTCTGTCAGTGGTAGGGTGTATGGGATTTCTGTCTGTGGCAGGGTGTATTGGATGTTTGTCAGTGGTAGGGTGTATGGGATTTCTGTCTGTGGCAGGGTGTATGGGATTTTTGTCAGTGGCAGGGTGTATGGGATTTCAGCCAGTGGCAGGATGTATGGGATTTCTGTCTGTGGCAGGACGTATGGGATTTGTGTCTGTGGTAGGGTGTATGTGATTTCTGTCGGTGGTAGGGTGTGTGGGATTTCAGCCCGTGGCAGGATGTATGGGATTTCCGCCCGTGGCAGGATGTATGGGATTTCCGCCAGTGGCAGGATGTATGGGATTTCAGTCAGTGGTAGGGTGTATGGGATTTCAGCCAGTGGCAGGATGTAGGGGATTTCAGCCAGTGGCAGGATATATGGGATTTCTGTCTGTGTTAGGGTGTATGGGATTTCAGCCAGTAGTAGGGTGTGTGGGATTTACGCCAGTGGCAGGGTGTATGGGGTTTCTGCCAGTGAAAACATGTATGGGATTTCAGCCAGTGGCAGAATGTATGGGATTTCAGCCAATGGCAGGGTGTATGGGATTTCAGCCAGTGGTAGGGTGTATGGGATTTCCGCCCGTGGCAGGGTTTATGGGATTTCAGCCAGTGGCAGGATGTATGGGATTTCAGTCAGTGGCAGGATGTATGGGATTTCAGCCAGTGGTAGGGTGTATGGGATTTCCGCCCGTGGCAGGATGTATGGGATTTCCGCCCGTGGCAGGATGTATGGGATTTCAGCCAGTGGCAGGATGTATTGGATTTCTGTCAGTGGTAGGATGTATGGGATTTCAGCCAGTGGCAGGATGTATGGGATTTCTGTCAGTGGTAGGGTGTATGGGATTTCTGTCAGTGGTAGGGTGTATGGGATTTCAGCCAGTGGCAGGATGTATGGGATTTCTGTCAGTGGCAGGGTGTATGGGATTTCTGTCAGTGGTAGGGTGTATGGGATTTCTGTCTGTGGCAGGGTGTATTGGATTTTTGTCAGTGGTAGGGTGTATGGGATTTCTGTCTGTGGCAGGGTGTATGGGATTTTTGTCAGTGGCAGGGTGTATGGGATTTCAGCCAGTGGCAGGATGTATGGGATTTCTGTCTGTGGCAGGACGTATGTGATTTGTGTCTGTGGTAGGGTGTATGTGATTTCTGTCGGTGGCAGGGTGTGTGGGATTTGTGTCTGTGGTAGGGTGTATGTGATTTGTGTCTGTGGTAGGGTGTATGGGATTTCAGCCAGTGGTAGGGTGTATGGGATTTGTGTCTGTGGTAGGGTGTATGGGACCATTTTGGTTGAACTCAGCAATAACACATGCAACATTATCATAACAAAAAATTATTTTTCTTGGGTGAAACTTCAACCATTTTCAAACACTTAAGGGTTTTCCAACATCAAATGTGACAACCAGTATTATGATGTCATTATACCAGGTATTCCATATCAGGGGCCATGCAGCTTGAACACATGCACTTCAAGGACTATTTTTAGAACTTGCATCAGCAAATTTTCTTTTCCAAAAATGCAACAATGTTAACACTACTATTTTAGAACCAAAGAACTTTTGGTATGGCTTGACATTGTACTCATAATGATAAGGTCAATGTCCAAAGGTGCAATACAAAATTTATTTCTTCAACAGGTACTATGGTGAGAAAAAAAATCAACAAGTGACCTAAAGGTAACATTTAAGGCTTTTAATGCCAAACTCAAAGTCAGGTAATTTTTAAGACAGCTGTTGCATTCAAGGGTTTTCAAACCCTGTATGTTGCAACTAATTTCAGTTCAACATTGACCTGGTTTCAAAGCAGTCTGACTAAATCACAAATCGCATGCAACTTTTATGAAAATGTCTCTCGGTTGCAGTCAATAACTGTGTCTTGTAGCAATATAATGACTTGTGTACAGTGTGGGGCCACACTATCCCACACACACTATTAGTACATCATGATTCCTTGTGTCTTTCAGCACCCTATGGACATGTAAACATTGTATAGCACCCCTCCTGTACCTTCTCCTTGATGGAGTTGCCTAGCAACTGTACACTCTTCAGGTCGACAGCCCCTTTCAGCCCCTTCTTGCCTTCCTTCTTCTTGCGCTTCTTGCAGCAGCATCGCTTGCACACGCAGTAGGTGCAACACAACAGGAACAGCAGTGCACCAGCACATATCAGGATGATTGCCCATAGTGGCACTGAAAATACATGTGAGGTAACTCAAAGTATATGAAGACAGAGGCATACTGTAAATCTTGAAATGAATATGACTGCTAGCCCATAGCCAAATACATATAAGCGAATCAATATGAAAGTGACTCCTCACCTTAATCCAACCTTAATCCAATCACACAGCAAAAAGCACTACTTCCACAAAAACAATACTTAGTGTTTTCCTAAAAACAAAAGATAATTTATGAGTTTACTCTGTAGACAGGCTCATGCCAAGTTCAAAGGAAATCAAATAATTGAACCAACTAAAGTTAAGTTTTTGTCTGCAATGATGGAGTACAATGTTGGAATAAGTGTGATGAAGCCTATCCCCTATTTCGGTTTTAGACTTCAAACAAGTGATGCTACGCACTGGAGACAATAACAGTAAAATATAAAACATCAGAGTGGAGACTGCTACCCAGGTCAAACTTAGTAAACAGTTGATGATAGATATTAAATTATGTAATTTCTGATGAATCTTTTTCAGGATTTCTTGGCGGTAGTTTGATGAAATTTAGCATATTTTGCCTCGATGTGTGAGATGCGGTGCATGCTTCCGGTTTCAGCAACGATAGATAAAATTGCAAGTATTTTTATTATTTTTCGTAATATGCATTATTTTTCTACTTTTCTTCCTATAATGTAAAAAAAGTTTAGATTTTGCGTATCATCAAACATTTTTAATTATTTGCTGTGTTTGTTGACTTTGTTCAACTAAACAAATTGCGAGTTAGGCCACGCCCAAATGTGTTCCTTACGTTGGTCTTCTTCGCAACAGCAAAAAATCAAGATTATAAAGAAAATATCGGACTGCATGCTGCTCAACATGAAGTGCCAAAAGTCAACAATGGCTGTTTGTCAACAGCAGGCCAATGTCAGAGAGTTTATCAAACAAAATAATTTGCAAACTCAATAAAAATGAGATTTATTTTACAAAGATATTTACATCCATGTTACTAATAATAGAAAAATAGGTTAGATGTAACTGAATAGTTGTAATAGTATTACGGGATCACGATTCATGTGGAGTTATTTCTTTACCGCCGTTACCATGATCGTACAGGTTCCATCCAATCGATGATGTTCAATTCAGAAAGTTGCTAATTTTTAGAAATTAACAAACTGGAGAGTTTTCTTTTCATCAGCAAACAAAAAATTATGATCGAATATGAAAAATGATAAAATTATAAAGAAAATATCGGACTGCATGCCACTCAACGTGAAGTGCCAAAAGTCAACAATGGCCGTTTCTGGTAGTTGTGTACCGAGAAGTTTGTCTGAAACTTTTATAACTCGCAATATTTTTTTAGGTAAAAAAACTACTGAAAGTTTTCATATTGAGCAAGCTGATCATTTATGCATGTCATACGTAATTTAAATGTTACACAAAGCCTTCATGGTAAATAGATATGGCGAGTTTTATTTTGGGATGTCATTATGCTATTCACCTGTTGAATGGGTTCGACATCAGATGCACGGGAAGTGACACCTCTGACGAATGGGTTCAACATTAGCATTGAGAGCTTTAAACTATCTTTTTAAAAACATCCCTTCAGTCAAAACATGGGTTTTGGTGTGGCTGCAGGATAGTGTTTGTGCTGGACAATGTGTTAGTGTTCAAGACAATTGATGTCTGCAGCGATCCCTGACAATGTGTTAGTGTTCAAGACAATTGATGTCTGCAGCGATACCTGACAATGTGTTAGTGTTCAAGACAATTGATGTCTGCAGCGATCCCTGACAATGTGTTAGTGTTCAAGACAGTTGATGTCTGCAGCGATACCTGACAATGTGTTAGTGTTCAAGACAATTGATGTCTGCAGCGATCCCTGACAATGTGTTAGTGTTCAAGACAATTGATGTCTGCAGTGATCCCTGACAATGTGTTAGTGTTCAAGACAATTGATGTCTGCAGCAATCCCTGACAATGTGTTAGTGTTCAAGACAAATGATGTCTGCAGCGATCCCTGACAATGTGTTAGTGTTCAAGACAATTGATGTCTGCAGCGATCCCTGACAATGTGTTACTGTTCAAGACAATTGATGTCTGCAGCAATCCCTGACAATGTGTTAGTGTTCAAGACAAATGATGTCTGCAGCGATCCCTGACAATGTGTTAGTGTTCAAGACAATTGATGTCTGCAGCGATACCTGACAATGTGTTACTGTTCAAGACAATTGATGTCTGAAGTGATCCCTGACAATGTGTTAGTGTTCAAGACAATTGATGTCTGCAGCGACCCCTGACAATGTGTTAGTGTTCAAGACAATTGATGTCTGCAGTGATCCCTGACAATGTGTTAGTGTTCAAGACAATTGATGTCTGCAGCGATCCCTGACAATGTGTTAGTGTTCAAGACAATTTATGTCTGCAGTGATCCCTGACAATGTGTTAACTATCTATGACACTGCAGGAGATTTACAGGCATGGAACTGTCTACTGGATCATCCAATTTCATATGCTGATTAGCACATTAGGTGTCAATTATCATTGGCAAGATTATCAACCTTTGCCATGATGAGCTCAGTTGATATAATTAATGTTTGCCACATGTTTAGTGAATCTGTCACCCATACATTCTACATGCAATTAACATGTGTTTTTTTTCCCATTCATCTGACTCATTAATGGTGCAAATGACTTTTGAGACAGACCTATTATACTGTGCAAATCAACATACTGACCTCTATGAAGGTCATTCAATAATAACCGTGCTGACCTAGTGTTATTCAAACAATTCCTGGGAGTCAACTTGTCGACATGTTTAATACATGTAACTCAATGAAACAGCTGAAGTGTTATTGGCATGATGCTTGTACGATCGATGCTTCCCTGCAAAGACATGTGTCTGTTGTTTTGCCTGGCCATCATAAATTACCTCCATTTGGATACATTGAGCAGTGCCCATTCAAACATACACTTTAGAAAACATTAATATTCACAGACAGCGACCAATTAAATTTAAAATATTAGCAGGATATCCCAGTGCAGTATCATTTGATGCTTAATCCTGCTTAACTGTTGTTTGAACTGGGGAACCATCTCATGAGCGTGAGTTAGTTTGCAAACTTGTAGTGAGCAATGTTTCATATTAATGAAGTGAGCGATGTTAACCATTAACGACGGACAAAACAGCCGCATTCTTTGATTCACTACTACTACTACTTTTGAGGACATGCCACAAGATGACCGGTGGGCTCCACTTGCCGATTACATCACTAACACCAAGTTTGAGGGTGACTGCCAGAAACACCAGTGGACAAACTACAACCTTGAGGCAGTGCTTCCAACTTTCTTAAAATGTGAATGTATAAACAAACATTTATTTGACTTAGTGTAATTGCATATGCATTTTGGAAGAAATAATAACAAAATAATGAATGTAGAGCAATGTGTACACCAATGTATACTTTCATCTAGTGTACGTAATATAACGTCTAATTTGGTAACCTCTAAATATTTACTCTTTGCTTTGGCAATAACCCCCCTCTTAATCATGATTAAGCAAGGCACCTGCACAACTGACTTTGACAAAAATTCACACATTGTCCCTGTAGACATTAAAATTAAGTTGATCACCATCCTGTGAATGAACCAGTGAGCTTAATTATACTTGGGTATAAACAGAAGGTGAGGTGAGGTGAGGTGAAATTGGGTTTAATGTCGCGTCCAAGATAATTGCACTTATATAGCGACATGCATGCATGTGTGTGTGTGGCTGCTTGTACTAGTCTGGACTGATGCCGATTTATAGTGCTAGCTCACTGAGATACCATGCTGCAGTTTAACATGAATACCCCACTCAGACACAGTATACTGACTCCGAGCCGACCAATCCTTGTTTTATCCCCTTAAAGCCGAGTGCCAGACAGGGTAACAACAAGTACCATCTTTTAAACGTCTTTTGGTGCGAAGCGGCCGGGGATCGAACCCCGGACCTTCCGTGGACGTTTTACCACTAAACCACAGAGGCGGTCGGTATTAACAGAAACAACAACAATTGTGACAAATGATGATAGTTGATGAAGCCTTAAGAAGAAAGCCAATAAGAATAAGGTGATTGGATGTATTGAATTCTAATTGATGTATGGGTGGTAGGTAGGCTGATGGGATGAATTAACCATGGTCTCTGTTGATGATTGTGTTAAATCTTTTGATTTTGAATGCTTCAGTTAGTTTTCTGATGGTGTTGTTTGTTAGGATGGAGGCAAAGGCAATAGGGCTGGTCCACTGGATCTTGTAGATCCGAGACACCAAGTTAACTCTCTCTTCCATTACTCAAATATTAACATGACTAAGGACAGGCTGTCTCTACTTATGCTAACCAACACTTAAAACAGTTTTTCAAAATAGAGCCACAAGGCTCTGGAACTGACCTTAGTTTTTCTGGAATTTCGTATTAGATCAGAATGGTCATACAAGCAGAAAGATAGTTGTGTTTAATACCAGTGTGAACAGTATGTCAGTATCATGGCATATCAGCTTCATGTGAGTAAAGTGTCTGAACTATGAGTTTTAGAATGAGCATGTAATTCCAAAGGCTAATTTCCCTGTAGCCATGACAAGTATGAGTCTTAACTTAACATACCTAATCATTTTCAGCCCTTTTGGGACATAGGCTACAACGATGTATGAGTCAAGAACCAGTTAATTGCCATTACATATAAGATACTAATCCTAATTGTAACCATTGTATTGTATATTGACTGTGAGCCATCTGAGCAGTTCAACTATGTCACTTTTCATTATTACTGTTGTTTATATTTATGATTTAATCCATGTTAGATGACTTTGACCTACACAATTAAGCCTTGGTCCAACACAACAACCAGGCCCATAGCACTTCTTGAATATATATATCTGCTTGTATAAAGTCACATTTGTATATAACATAAGCTACCAGACTGGATATTCCTACTGACAACCGTACACAGATCCCCTGCATTATAGGAATATGCAAATAATCAAACTAACAATGTGGTT